AAAAGGTTATATTTCGGCTCATTAAACTTTATTTTAACTCTCAATTTGTAGAAAGCTTGTTACAAAGTATGTGATATAGCTTTGCATCTTATGTCCAGTTTGCTGTAAAATTGGCGGCATGGCGATCGAACTTGATTGGATCACCTAGGGACTTAGCAGACATATATTAGAAATACGGAAACGGTCCAAAATGCATACTGAGCACTTTCTTAGGACATTACAAACATATATGATTTGCAATAAAACCTGCTGAACTGTGGCGTTAGCAGCCCGGTAACCCAGTGTCCTGAAGTTGACAGCCTAACCGAAGAACACCTATGGGCAAAGTCTGTGAAAAAAATAATATAAGAATTTATGCGGAAAAAAGACCTTATGCTAGCTTGTTCTAAAGCTAGGTAACATTTTTCTACCAAAAAACAATTACTACATTTTCGTATTAAAATAGCACTAATCTGTAGCTATGCCGCTTTAAACTCTTCTTAAAACAATTATATTTTTCTGAACGAGCTATCGAATTATAACTTTATGAGTTGCAGTTTTCTCTTTGCGGTATATATCTTTATTAAATTACCCAATAAAATCGCACGCTTATAATTATTGTTCAAATGATTTTCCCCACAGGTTTCTATAACTATTATAACATTTTAAAACAATTATTTTATTTTAATCCAATAAATGTAAATGCTTTTTCGCCCTATAATTTGATCATGAAAATTTAACTCTTGCGTATTCAATTTCTAAAATCCCAAGATTATTCTTGCAAAATGGATCTTGCTCATGATCGATAATTTGGTTTTAAATGACGGTGAAAAAAATGCTAACGTTTTCTCATAATCTTAAATTTCACGACTTTCTACTAAAGTTCGATAAATTTGAAATCAAACCATGTCGTTTTTCTTCACGTTAATTGAATATTTTGTAATGAAACTCGCCAAAGGTTTGTTTACGTCAAGTTTTTTTCCCATGGTGCACACAATATTGTGAAAAGTATGAAATATCAACAATAACATTTAGGTTTTTGTTATCATTTTTGTTTTAGATATCGGTCATTTGTTTCAAAAGACTTACAAACGTGAATTATAGACTGTCCAATTTTTGAGAACGCTGAAGAAATTGACATGAAAAATTATGATTGCCACATTTGACACTAGTCAGTTATATAAACGCCCCTACCACAAGGAATATCGGGGACTGTGACTTTTGGAATTTTAAAAAATCTGGTAAAACCCCGTCCACCACTTGGGTACATTTCCCTCTATTTAGGCGCTAAAACAAAACTATTGACCAGGCAGTGCGGTATAAAACTCATCCCATTTTCCCCGCGCTGCCCCGATGGCGGGAACCTGGGTTACAGCTAACCGATGCGTTATACCCGACCTTCGTCTGTAATGGACAAGGACACATTTTCTTTCCAGAAAAGAACATCCATGTTGAGCTAGGTCTAGATTTGATTAAGAGTTTATAATACTTTATAAAAAAATTCTAATAGCTTGCGTCCTTTAAATAATATTTTTTTCTGTTCGCAGCAGCAGCAGCAGCAGCAGTAACAACGACGCCATTATTGCATTTGGCATTGTATGCGTTATAGACATACGGAGCTAGTACATTTGCAAGCATGTAGAAAGTATCATAGTATAGATGTTTACTGTATCCCAGTGTGAAGCCCTTCATTTTGATTGGCCTGAGAAAACTTACACCTTAATTGCAACTGATATTTCATCGCGCACGACACTCATTTACAAATGTAGCCAAACTGTGAACAACTTCTCATCCTCAGCAAACACTTAACGTGGGAACCGAATCTCTATGTTTGAAATCATCTCACAAAGTTTGCATTGTTTTGCGCAACTTTTGAGCATTGGCAGCAAAAATGTCATTGCGTAGCCGGTGAACATGATTTAGAAAACAATGAAAATTGTAACGATGAACGTGCAAACTGTCAAATTTTGACGATGTTTTTGAAAACAGGCGAGCCAAAAACAACAACAACAATGACGATGATAATGATGAAAATTCAAAATAAAATAATGCATAAACAGTATTAATCAATCATGTTTTTTTTTTATTTTACACAGAAAATGACATAAAGAAAGTAATGTTTTTTTCCTTTCATATATTTTTTAAAATTCATTTTAGATATATTCAGATACATTTCCCAGCAAAAGCCTGTTCGATTTTCAAAATCATGCTTCGTATTGTTTATGTCACGGACTTCATTTTCTTTATGCGGAGCCATAAAAATCTTAAGAGTCAATATCGTACCTTGCACAAACGAGTTGGGTGGTCGGATGTGACATCAAGATGTTATGTATTTACACGGAGAAATAGTCATAAAAATATCTTTGCTTCAATAATAAAACCATGACAAAATCACATTCTTAAACATTTCGCTATAATGCTATTCAACAATTTGTTAAAAAGTAAATCAAAATACCGAATGTTATTTAAAAGATCGAAAAGGGATGATACTTTTCAACCATTATTATTTAATGAGGATATTGAAAAGTGTCCATTCGAACCGTATAATAACGGTTTATGACTTCATTTGAATGGAAACTGTAGAAAAGAAAAAAAACCAAGATGATAAACATAGAGTTCAAATACATACATTTTTTCACGTTCCTATAAAAACTTCAAAAACAACTTGAGTAGTTAAGGAAAACAGATTTGAAAAAAGTTTTAATCAATTAGTTTGGGTTCATATAAATCTCCTCCAAATAAAATAAATAAGCGAAAAAAAACACTATGTATTAAAAGGATATTTTTCTTTAAGCGTCTTTCAAAAAAGGTTAAGATGCGCATCTGAAGAAAATTTATCTTCATATTTTAAATACATCAACTTGAAGTATAACTACTTAGATTTATAAAGATATCTTTTTAGTTGTCATTTAAATTTGAAATGTAAAGAAAATGGAATAAAACACGTGTACATAAACGGTCATCTTTTAAGGGTCAGTTTTATGCCCAGTCTTAGATATCAATCTGTGAGGCCGCATAAATTATAGCCCAAATCTTACAAGATGACAATGTATGATTTTCTATAAAACATACATCTAATTTTCATCTTAAAAGGGGCATGTGCAGATGATGGTTTTAAGTACATATTTAATGAAATCAGATATGAAAAATTTCTTTGCCACCACGGCGATCGAGTTTCTTATAACTCCCCCTTTTGATCTAGAGTAAAATGATTTACAGGGCTTCTCGATGGCTGGAGATCTTATATATGTACATACCAGATGACAAGGGTGATGGTCACTCGAGACATTTTTTTACCATTTTTTCCACTTTTGCTATATTTTTTTTTTTTTTGACAATATCATATTTTGATGAATTTTGACAAGTCATACGTTTGATATGAGTGATATTGTATGAAGGGGTTGAGATGACTGAAGAATGTATGTTCACAAATGTATTTTATAAAAATCGTCAAGATTAATGATGATCAATTTATACTAAAATTAAATGTTTATGGCAGCCAAGACATGTCATTAATATGCGTTGTGCGGAATTGGAAACCAGAATACCATGTTAAATTTGAAATGTCAACAACAAATTTTTTTAATGAAATGAAACAAAAAAGGACAACAGTTTTAATACTTCTGATGGATAGCTTACCCTCCGTAAGGCACAAATTTATTTACAAGAGCACAGTTCATCTACTGCATCCTGCAGGTTTTCAAGCAGTTGCAAGGTTCTGATAATATCTGCACTGGCATGTACAGTGAGAATGACCGTAGAAAAGATTTCATGATCTCAGTGACATGCACTGCCCGGGAATCGAACCCGGGTCGCCCGATTCACAGTCCATCGCTCTACATATTGAACTTATCTTTTCTTAATCAAAGTATCTTAATTTAGATGAATACAATAGAAGAAAGACATTATGTTTTTTCTTCATGTACAATAAATATTACATCGCACTTCAAGTTTCTTAAGTTGCTAAGATACGGCAGGGTCTTTCATATAGATTCTATATGAAAGATCCTGGATACAGTACTGAACTAACCTATATAAGGACAAAGAAAACGAAGAATTTTGTTGAAAAATATACATATAATTATATAAATCAGATAAATAAGAGAGTAATCTTTAGAGAAAAATTAAGCTTGTATAGCATGTTCAGGAAAGACAATCCTGAAAGTAAAATTACTAAATTTCAAATTCAAACTCAGTTTTCTCCCCTAGATTTAACTTTTTATCATGAACATGATCTAAAAGTTCGCGGACAATGCAAAAGTTGTCTTATTATCTTTAAGGGCATCTAGCATATAAATTTATTTCTGTAATAAAATTCAGAGATTTATAGTTCTTTATGGGTTTGACCATTTATCTTGCCAATCTATGTACCTAGGGGATATATACAGGGGCTATTTAACCCTAAATTTGTCTGTTTATCCGGAAATATTTGCTAATTTGACCAAATAAAATGTTTAACGAATGAAGTCGTTGTAAATAAGTGACATTTCGTATCATTCAAATCGTTGGAAATTATGACTTTCTTAACATTTTTGCAGACGATTGCTAACTTTTATTGCTAATAAAAGCGCGGAAACACTGACCCATTGTTCGTGACATTGCTATCATTTACGAATTCCTGTATGTATGATGACTGTATCTATGTTTGTTTTGTGAAAATGCAAATGTCATACATATTTATTAAAATGTACTTTTTAGACTGGTAAGGTATTGAAGTAAGGTATTGGTCTTCTACACTTAAATATCATTCCTGAATAATTGTTAATTCTGAAGTATATTTCGAGATTATAAGATTTAAGCATGTTTGGTAAAACAGAACAAATTGTACAAGTGTGTATTCCTTTTCGAATCGTTGTCAAACTTGGTGCGAAATTTTATCAGCTTATTGAATAATTTATCAGTCAATTTACAACCCTGTCAGAAAAATAGAGTAGTTCCGCACGAGCGCGCAACGCAACTCGACATCTGATTCGATATCAGAAAATAAGCTCCGCCCTCTTCAACCAATAAAGATCTGGACGAGTGTTGCGATATTAACAGTGTAAACTGAACTTCATTTAAGAGAGGGGTTTAAAACTACAGGTGTTCACATAAAGATCTTGAATTTCTATCTGGATTTTACTTGACAATCTGTTTTCATTCAAACGCTTGGATTTTAAAACCGAAAAACTTTTAATTCTTCAAATGAATGTTAAAAAGTAAGAAAATAGTAAAAAAAAGTTGGTGACAAATTTTTATTAAATTATCACAATGGAAATACCATGGTTACAGATGCTTCTAGTTATGGTCCTTCTGGTGGACCTGTCCATCCAGCACACATGTGAGCAGTGTGACTGTACTATAAGGTAAATATAACGCGGAGAATTTTTTCTTCTAAATACCTTTTTTTCATTAAACTGTATTAAACTTATAAAAAAGTACCTTCTTTAAAATTTCGTAGTGTACTGTCTCATAGCAGTTTTAAATAACCCTAGTAAAGTCGTCTGTTCGAAGGGGAAAGAAAATGTGGTATTTTAGGACAATTTCGATATGAAAAGTACAGTGTTTCTGGTGCATAGAAAAATGTCAACTTCTTAAATTGGATTTAATTTATTCACCGTTCAAAATGTATTACGAAGGTATTAAGAAAATCCACTTACAATGATTAAAGACTTAAGTTTAATGAGATTTAAATGTTTTAAATATTAGTTGTGTTTTTTTTCTCTTCTCACATGCTGGATGTTATAAGTGTGTATTTCTTTTTAATGATTATAATATGAATCAGCTAGAACTGTAATGATTAATGTAGAAACATGCGGTCATCTAATGCTTTCTCAATGCTTACCTCATACACTGTTCTATTAAATACCGATACAAGATATATTATGTAACAGAATGATAAAATATATATTTGTAATTATTTGAAGGCAGATGATTAATCATTTTAAGATTATATATTTTATATGTGTAATATACTTAATGCACACAAAGGTCAATCTTATGTCAAATGACCTTACGCATAAAGTAACTTCATATGACGTAATTTCGGTTGTTTAATTAAATTACCATGTCATATTTTAATCATTTTGAAACAATATTATTTTAACAAGTTAGCTGCGGGGGTTATTGAAATGTAAACCCTGACAGAACAGTGATTTAGCCAATATCTCCCCAGTCTGAGGGACGTCAAATTATATAAATACATTCTGATAAAGATCTTCTTTAGTGCACGTAAAGCACGTGTAGGGAAATCAGTCGAGGTCAACGTCTTGTCTTATTCATATGACTGTTTGTTTTGAATTCGTATTTTTGTCATAGTTATCAGACACTACTGACCTTTGACTCAAATCTGTGTTTTATCAGTAGCAATATTACACGAGGGTACTAAATAATTTACTGCCACCGCTATGGGACCTTTTGGACAAGTTGAATAGAAATACAGTATGTTGTCTTCTACAGTAATAATTCATGGTCCATTAGGAATTGATTGGAAAGTGTGTGTTATAAAACTATGAAATCTTATCACATGAAAACTGGAAAAAATGGTACATGCATACTTGTATGCAATAATTGGTGCACCGCATAACTGATAATAAATTTTACTATGAAACAACTAATTTAATGATCAGTCGAGCTAAACTTGAAAAAGATAACAGCACTTTCACTTTAAACTCTTTCTAAGGAAAAAAGAAAAGGTTTTGATGAAATATTTGCAATTAGATTCTATTTCTGTCAATGCTCAACGCTTTGTATTTATTTATATAAATGAAGCATTTAGCCATAATGTCTCGTCAAAAAAACTTTCCGCCAACATCGTGTCATATTCGCGTAATATAAACAACTGGATGTTTTAATGTTTTTAACTGTGCTGTCAGCCGTACATCACAATATCGTCGGTGACTCATTCAGCTTGCATCTGTAAGGTAGATAAATCGCATCATCTGCTGCAATATATATCTATCTATAATAAAATATGTCTGGTTCATATTAATATATGCATAAATAATGACTTTTCTTTAAAGAACTCAATCATTTAGGTTTGATTCCGAAGGATTAGAAAATAGTGATGCCCTTTTCAATCATTCATTAAAGGTTACTTTTGAAATGTAAATTATATTGGCGATAACTATATCTATTACAGTCTTTTCCAATAAAGAATGTAAAATAATGATGATATAAAAGACACCTAAATTTTATATCAGTATATGCTCTCTATCCAGCGAATATCTTAGAAATACGTTTTAGATGATGCACTATATCAATTTGACATTTAAGTGCCAGTATTATTTATTGTAAGCACATTATGATTGTTAAAACTGTTTTTTTAACAACTTGCATCGTGATCTTTTACACAATTGGCACTTTCTAGTATTTAATATCTTTGTTTTCGATTGTTGCCAAAATTACCAATGTTATAATTGTCAAAAAACTACAGTCAACCCAGACATAACCTGTTACACTTACGATTCTGGCAATGTTCCTGTTCTTACAACAGTTTGACTGCTTAATTGCCGTACTATTATAATGTCTAGACGACTGATTTTTATGTCAGTATCATCATCTCGGGTTATTTTGACATTACATTGATTGATTGAATTCTGCAGCCTCATGATGACATACCGTGCAATGTAACTGTAAGTTACAGACATACACATAGTTTAAGGAACACAGGTCATATATTCATTTCAAAATTGCTTCGTTCCTTCTCAGAAATTATAAATTTGCTTTCGATGCAATTTTGCTCAAACAAATCATGTGTTAAACTATTGGACCATGCAAGGACCGTTTGCTCTCCTCAAACTTGTCCTAGCCTCATGTTTCATGACCTGCTCATTGCCCATTCTCATTTAAAGCACCAATGAATGCTATGGATATCTAGGCCAATTTCGTCGGCTGCACAATTATGTTGACTGCGATGTTATAAATATAAATGAGCACTGCAGTAATGTGACAGAGTGTTAAATACCAACTTTGCAATTAATATTACAAATATAAGCCTTTCTTTACATACACGTGGCCTTGCGAGGCGTTGTTTATTTACATTCTAAAATCGCTACAGAGATTATAACTCGGGTTTATTTGTTTTTGAATTACAGTAATAACAATTATCACTGTGCCCCACTGATGAAAGAGCCACCGAAAAGACCGTCTCTGATAGCACCTATCTTCATTTACAATCTCCCCCTTCAGTTTATCAGAGCGAGTCAAATGGTAAAAATTTGAAACTGAAGTGTTTTTTTATTTGTCCTGTATAGAAATGCCACTAATCGTAACACCTTTTCAATACATTTTTGTCCCATTGCATAGAAAATAGCACATTCAGGCACCAGTAATGTGATATCCGGGTTGTCGAGATTAGTTTGTTAGTAATTTTTGTGATTACATGGGTGTGTTACATGGTATCAGAGTCCACATCTAAAACACTTCGGTCCTTCCAAAAAGAGTTATAGTCCCTAGTATTTATTACAATTGGTAATTATAACATTAATTCTAAAGTACGGTTTTCGAAATGTTTAAAAGCGTTTTAAGAAGAAAACAAGTGTCGAAATAATTGAAACAAACTAATTTCAAATGTCAGTTTATCAATCAGGTCAACTATTAGATAATGTGGACTTCATGATTTGGGGCAAATAAGTTCAGGGTTGTTTTTTAAATGATGTCGTCTGCTTATTTTATTTTCTTTAAAATAAGTCGTCTGCTTTGAAGAAACAAAAGAATACAAAATTACATATTATAAAGCGACAATTATTATTATTTATCGTAAAATTACTGCAGATGAATGAAACGGTGAAGATCCCTCTAAAAGGCCAATACTTGATTGCTGGACCATGGTTTGGTCCGAATTTTTTTGCTTGTCATTATGACAATGACTTGATTTATGTAATTAATCGGTACATCTCAATAACCGAGCTTTGTCCCATTTCTTTTTAGGTTTCAAGAAGATGATCTTTGCTTATGTCACCGTTTCTTTGGGTTAATTAAACTTCTTTATCTCAGATGATTCGAATTTTAATAAACTTGCAGACGATATGTAGATTTTATTTTACTTGGGGTCAAAAGGACAGGGTCAGGTTTGCGTTAATCTGCGAATGAGTTTCGGCGCGTGTGCCAAATGTTTTAAAAAGAGGCACGCGACCTTTAAAGTCATTTATCTAATTTATAAATGTTTTAATTTGCATTCGAGCGTTTTATGATGAAATGTTTTGTCATTCTATTATTAAACTATCACTTTTGATAAATGGAAATCATTTATTAGCTTGACACGTAGACTCAAGTATGTAGACCACAGGCAAATGTATCATACAACAGCTGTTGTGGACGAAGGAAAGAAAAGCAGAGAAAAGGTCACTCAATCCTGTACACCCAAATCATTTGTATTTTTTTTCCTGTCATTTTAAACGAAGGTCAACAATTAGCATTTGTCACTGGCACAAAGAAAGTTACATGCGTTAATTCAACAAAACACACACGTTAATACAAAAAAACAATATATTTATAAACATTCAAACTTTGGATATGTTTTTTCTGGCTATTATAAAAATACGTTTTAATACCTGTATCACTATGCTACGTGTTTAACATGTCTATTTTCTTAACTTGTTTATTTTGTATTTCAGTGCTACCGATGCTAGCAAAGGCGTTCACTTGACCACTCTGACGTGCATGGACGGTTCTGTCACGTGGTACAACCCGATTGGTGCACTGAGGGTCGAACTCAGACCAGAAATGCCTGGGAAGTTTCAATCCTGTTTCGTTGTTGAAACCGGGGATTTGAAGCTAAAGGTTTCGCGAGAAGCCGAATTGAATATAAATTCAAAGTCGCCATCGGAAAGAAATCAGTTCATATTGAATGACAACAACCTGCAACCACTTGTAACCTCCAGAGGGAAGAGCAACGAAGTATGTATCCAGGCAACGAATTCCGTGATTCTATATTTAGAACCGGAAGTTGATGAAACGCTGGAGTCTAAAAGAGTTGTCTTCCGGTACGATCTGGTTTACGTACCAAAAGTGGAAAAGTCTCCAATTGAAGGTAATTTATTTATCATGGGATATTATTTCTTTGCTCTCAATGACAAAATCTATTTGCGTAGTTGCATTACAAACGGAAGTAAACTTTCCTTAAACATAACTTTGCATATGACTTTATATTGAAGAAAATATACAACATTATAACTGCAAAATATTTGCACATATCCTAGGTGGGATTTGATGTTCAAAATGAGCTCTTTGACATAACAAGATTCGTTGGGTCTAGTTCACTTAAGCTCTCACATGACGCACCACCACGTTTTCTTAAAACCCAGATAGTTATGCAAAAGAAACGCTTTAACTGAGTGAATATTTCTTTTATATCATTTTCAATAAGAGTTTCAAATCAAAACATTTTAAAAATCTACTTTTTTTACCTAAACGACATTTATAAATTATGAAACCTGTAGCTTCGACGGAGATTTGTGTATATTTTATCTCATTTTCAAAAGGCATTTTATTACAGTGCTGCGCTTTTAGATAACTTGAATAGCTTCTTCATTTCTATGAAGTGTTAAAAGTTTTCGTAGCAAATGCTTTTACATTATTTATACAACTTTTGATATCATGGTTTATAAACGATATTATGAAAATATGACAAAAGACCGGATAATGGCTGTTTTATGCATTTGTCCATATTCTTGTCAATTGTGAAACCCACTCGGCACCTGTGTTAAGAAAGTTTCTCATTTAATAGCGAATTTTACGGGAGCATAAGCTAATAAGCGCACCTGGGCGACCTCCGTCTCATACCCGAACAATTGAGCATTGTGCGTCCGCGTTTACTTGAAAATCATACGCGGATGAATTGCTCATTATATTTACAGTTAACTTTTGTTGGCAGTATAGTGTTTCATGTTAAAACTAGGTGTTTAGTACATGCTTGTTATACGTTTTTTGTAAAAAGTTACTGGTTTGAAAACGAGCTGCAGTGTCCGAGTGCGGCGGTCCTTGCTTTTACCGATCGATAAGTCTGCGTTGAACCGCCCTAAAATTTAATAAAAACAGATTTTATATTGTCAAAAATCATTTCTTCTCTTAAAGCTAAGGTTGTCAATTTCTAAACCAGGAGAACCTATTCTGATAAGTTAGGTGATTTTGAAAAAAAAACACTGCTATTCATTTTTTACATGTATTCATTATGAAAGGCATTAAATCTAATTCATTCACTTGGAAACCCGTCGCGTTGTATTTGACTTACTAATAGGTACACATTTTCGCCTTATTAATTTTATTTCTAAAAAGAAATCTACAACTTAAATGATTTGATATCGATTTTTTTTGTATTTGAAATTTTTATAGGACTTAAAAGTCTTTCTCTAAATTCATAAAAGTTATATATAATCAGTGGTGTATTTGAGTACAGACTGTACCATGGATGTTAGAACAGGTTTTGAATAATTATCTTCAAGCATTGAAATAAACATAATTATTCCGTCTGTGACATTGAATTATCACAGCTCTTCGTGTCTATCTTATCCCACGATAATTGCCAATGTATCGATCCGCATTCGAGGTCAAACGATAACAATCCACAACTTATGCAAAGATTATAATTTAATAATATATCATTTTGGAGTGAAGTTGATTTTCGCCAAGCATTTACCGCACAAAACTACGTGAAGTCCGAGCAGCATTCTGCAGGCTTTTCTTAAATATCGTGCATGCACGTTCTTCTCCAGCACGTGCAGGTCAATGACGCACACGTGAAAAAATCACGGGTCTGGAACATATCTTTTGAATGTTAAAGTTAAATAAACTGCTGCATTTCTGAACCTCTCTTTTCCATACAGCTTGTTTTGAAAGTTCGTGCTCGGAGTTTGGCGTTTTGTATTAAATTCATATTGCCCAATCTCAACATAGAAGATAGTCGCTGATATTCAAAAGGCCGTGCACCAATCCCTCATATTTGTTCATGCGAAGACATTTGAACAGGATATGTAATTCAAAATGAAGCTGTTTTAAATGCGCATCAGTTTTATAGATTTAGGATAGTCCAGAGTTTAAGGGTACAGTGAAATCCGATCCTGACAAATGCATTCAATAAACGCATAAAACATTAATTTTGACACGCTTCAATTGTAATACAAGACGTTCAAAATCCCTGAAACTTCCTTCTAAAACATGATTAATTTCAGCTAGAATTTCTATAAATAGATAGTTTCACAACATCACGCTGTCGTATGTCAGTCACTGGAATATCAACCGGATGGTACGAATTGGAAAAAATATAGAATTTAGCCGGATAAAAGATATTAAACTCGTATGGTGTATAAAAAGTGAATCACGTGATTTGCAGCTCATTTTGCATGTTTTACCATCTTTTTTAACATTTTAAGCCGTTGGGGTCATTGCGGCTTTTCTTCTTTAATATTTCATAATATATTCAACTTCTGAAGCGACACTATTTTAATAACATCTTAAAAATTTTGCCATAAAAATGTAACTATATTCATTCAGAATATACCCTCGCAGTTTGTAATATTAAATGAAGCAGAAACGCTAACTTATGTGTTTTGTCAAAAAAGATGTTTGACGATGCATACGACATTTAAAGTTTTCTACATACATTAGATAAAATGATTGATACAAATAAAGCAAGAGACTATGAAATTAGTATACATTTTCTGTTTTTGGCTGTGTCCTTTTCTCCTCCGTTCCATTCCGTACTATTCCCTAGGTTTTCTTAATTGTGTAGAACTTTATAATATCAGTTTTTTTAAAAAAGCTTATTAGCCAATAAAAACATGATTCGTGATATTTTGTCGTCAAGTAAAAAAAATACACGGCCAAAAATCATTTCAAATAATTTATTTCTGTTTCGTACATTACTTGAATCAGTGTGTTGCACAGCAGTTTGCTGTCTTCGCGAACATGCCTCGTTTTCTAAATGATCAGCATATGTTTTAATCATCATCTTATATATTATTACTCATAATTCTTTTATCAAGATGTTTCGCTGATTCATCATTATTATGAGCAATATCCCGAAAGAAAAGGCGATACCAGATTGTATGATTGCAACAATTGCTCACCTGAGAACTCTGATCGCTTCCTTGCCTTGGTAGCATTACAGTTTGTTACATTATCAAAATAGCACGATTTTCGCGTGCTTTCTATGATATAATAGTGTTTATGACGTTGTACATATTTATGATGCCTTCGGAATGCTAGCATTATATACGCATGGTGCCGTGACCATGATTTAAAAAAAAATTCAATCTTTAGGGTAATGTAAAATAAAGCAAATTTGCATTTCTTTATTAAGGAAAGTACGATTTTAACTTTAAGGTTAGATCAACGAAAATGAATATATTCATTCATTATATAAGATACTATCTGAACAAAGGCTAAAAAGACACTTTACTATGAAAAAAAGGAGTAAAATTGCCATAATTACAATGGGATTATTACAGTCCTGCCTATTTAGATACACTAATGATGTAAAAATACATAAAAAGATTCGTCAATCGCCGACAACTGGTCCATATATAACCTCCTATCAAACTAATTAGTTAACAACATAATAAGTCATATATCGTCATCTTTGTGCAATAATGGATTAAGTCCTTATTTTAATAGGAGTTAATTCTAGTTATTGCACTAAGGTGACAATATGCTCCATTTTTATTGCTAACTCAGAAATATTCAGATTCACCATTAAATAAATCGTCAGAATATTGTAAAAGTTTTCTCATGTAATGAACACGAAGGGTGAAAATAGAAGGGAATTTTATGGATATTTAATGGTGTTTTTGTAGATTTATTGGGCTGATATAAGTTTTATGTAACTCAATCAAGTGATAAAAGAGCACCTAGATGATCTTTTTATTTAACTTCATTAGCCCTGTAGGGTGGATTTCTTATTGGCTAGTATCAGAGACACGTGAACTTAGGCAATTATTAACCCTTTTATATACGTTTCTAGACTAGAAGAGAAAGTGATTAGCCTTTGCCACCAGTATAGAGTAAGGAAGCCTGCACGCCCATGTAGTCTGACCATGCTCTATTGTGTTGGTAGCTCAATGTACAATGTATTTTGATATTGAAATACCTATATTTTCAAATTGACCGTTTCAAATTCAAAGTAGGGGCATATCCATGACGTAAGCAAATTCAGCAGATCATGGGCATAGAAACAACTAGGGCCGAGGGGAGTTTCACTAAACGTTGATATGAAATAGATTTGATCATACTCAAAAAATATTTCGTATCTGTTGAATATATAGGTAATGATGCACATTTCAAATTATATGATGGTGTATGTATTGTATGTATTGCAAGATTTTATCATTCATTTGACTTTCTTTTTTCCCCCACAGAATGCCGCCCATGCAGTGAATACGAACTATTAAAAGCGTACTGCTCCAGTGACTTTGGTATGTAAAGTTTCATTACTTATGCAATTTATATATTATATATACATGTTTTTTTATTTCGGTTTTATATCTACATGTTAGACAACGTGCCTAGAAACTTAATAAACTTACGACAGCACACCTGTCCTTCACGAGCTTACATTAAGCATTATTAATATTGTTAAGAGGTTCCAGTGCTTAAGACAAAATTGTACATGTCAATTAATGCAAGCGCGTTCTTAAAACCTATGCCATACGTTTTTTATTCTCTCGCTGCATATACTTGAGACTGGATTAAATTAAAGCTCGCACATTCTTTCGGGGCTTAACACGCCGTGATTCAGATATTCGGCGCTTCTAAGCATGTGTCCTTTTTTCATTTCTTGTCCAAATAAAGAACGTGCCTACTTATCTTTTGTAATGGTGGTCAGTCAGGTGTACTAAATAACTTGTATAGACCATTAATGAGTTGTTGAATACTTCATGTATATTATCTCAAAGAAAAGAACAACAATAGGCAACGGAAAGTTTCGGTTTACTTTATTATTAGGTTTCTTTTGTTATATGGTCAATTAAATTGTCTTAAATCATTTTTTTCATTTTTCTTTCAGTTATTGTTGGAAGTATGGAATCGGTCAATCATAATGACGAAATCGCGAAGACGAAGATCGATGTCGAAGTCGCCCAAATCATTCGCTCATCTGGTGACCATTTTTCCCGCCTGAAACGAGACTCGGCACTGCAAGGAACCATTACAGCACCGAGGAAATGCGGCGTTTCAAAGGGAGATGGTCTTTTCTTAATGACAGGAAGGGTAAGACTCGGAGAGCTTACTATGGGCTGTGCCCCTTACCTTGATGAATGGGAAACAATCGTCAACAAAGCACAGCTAGAAGGGAGGTTGGAATGTGCCAGAGATTGATAAGACCGGAAGTTCTAGTCACGTGATCTACCTCAGTCTCTTTCTGACAAACGGAAGTGATGTAACAAGGGGGAGAGTCTAATCGCATCACTTCTAGCCAACGAGGTTGTCATGGTCAGCACCTGGAAGTGTATCTCTTCACTACTTATAGACTGTAAGTTTAATAATATCATTCCGTTGTTCAATTTTATTGCGCAAAAACACTTTCCGTCTAATTAGTGAGGAGGTTTCTCTCAGTCAACTTGTTAGTCAAAACTTTTAGTTAACTGAGCCGATTTAAAAATTACTTTTTAGAAATGTATTATCATCAACCATATGAAAGAAGTTTTAATCTCATCTTTTCAGGACTATGCCATGATTTGACAACCTGTTGGGGTCTAGGAAGAGCGTTTATTCAACAGACATTGAGATGTTTGGTTTCCAGAAATTGAAACCACACTGGACATATGGCTAAACCATTGATAAAAAGTGATCCAAACATCAGGTCTTCCAGCTACATGGTAAATACAAAATTTTTAATTTGTAGAAAAAAATAATGATCTTTGTGTAAATGAAATACAAGTAAACTAATTGTCTGGGTTTTTAAAATTAAATTGAAATAAAATTAATGTAGATGTATCTATAGCTTATCTGGATTGAAATTTGATACCATGTACTTAGTATTAGTGTTCAGACAAATTTTGACATACATGTATAATTTGCACCTCGTATATTGTATGTAAACCATATTTCTTAAGAAATTTTATTATTCATAAATTAATTATTGCATCTTAAATTATCTTTTTAGGTAAAAAAGGTCGACTTCAGAGGATCTGAAGCCAAAGTGGACTTCATGGATAATAAGAAAATTGTCGTCTGACAGCAACATGATTTTATTCGGATGTGCGCGGGAATGACTTAACACATATACCGGCTTATACAAAGAGACATTTTACTTAGTTCATGAAGTCTATGTATGATAAATCACGACCACATGATAAGAATATATACTAGTATTCAAAGTGCGCTTGGTGAAATGATGGTATATTAACTTAACCACATTATAAGAAATTTACAATTATATTATATATACATGTATATAAGATGTACTTGGTAAAATTGACACTGTGTAAACTGTCTTAAATTGTACTATAAGTAATATATGACTTCTTAAGATAACACCAGTTGTGAAATTTATGACAAGAATTTTGTTAAATATATACAATGAAAAACTGCTGTATCTCTGTATATTACTTAATATGTGTTACAACTGTATTACACCAAACCTTGATTACGGTATAACACGCACTATGTCTCATTTATTTTCTTAATATATTATATATTTTACAGTGTAGACTAGTTGAATGAATGTGTCTGCTTTTGTGACACCTGTGTGATAAATCATTCTTTTAAAGTATATATTTAAAACTTCAAAATGTCAAGTTACCTTTGTTTAATGAAGAGAAAAAGTCGTGTGAAAATTATACTGCATGAAAGTATAGTTACTTGATTACCATCACAGAGTGTTTAAAAACCTTTTTCATACCTTTTTTATAGGAAAATTAAGAATACATTATGAATAAAATGATTTAAAAATGATGAAACTTGTGTTGCTAGTGACTTTTCCCAGGAATTCCAGTGATGTGTACATTTTAAATATAAAAACTGGCCAAGGTAATTCCCAACACCCAACAATTTAGTTTTATATTTCAAATGAGTACATTTGTATCTAAGCTTCCTACTTAATTGGTCATTAAACATTTGTTTTGTAAAGTACAATTCCCAAACGATCAGTGATTCAAATTGTTTGCAAAATACCGTTAAAGCAATTACAATGAAGTTTCATTTGCGGCTGCAGCTTCGTTTTATTTGCGTATTCTGAATTGATTTTATAAAGACTTGTAGTTATTTGTAAATTCATTGTTTTTGGACCTTTTCCCCCGCTTTTTTTGCCTTAAAAGTCATTTAGTCGGGTTTTAATACTTCTGACGCCATTGTTGTGTCGATAGCATTAGTACATGTAAATATATGATGGCAACAACCTGTTTAAATTTAACCAAAAGCTCATGAAAAAAGAGAGACCGCTGAAAAGAATTAATGAGAAAAATAGGAACATCCAACAGTTAAGGAAACAGATAGGCCTAAGCTTCAATTCCTTTAATTATTTTTCGACCCTAGTTTAGAAGAGGCAGTTCATATTTTAGTACATAATTTAAAGTTAATGTAATATGAATACCTAAATTATATCGTATTCAAGGCTGGCGCAGATAAGCGTCCATGTTGATACATCAAGTTGCATTTTAAGTATAAAAAAACACTTTCAAGCACGTCATCTATCATACAGTTAAAATACATATCACCGTCACGTGGTAGCTTTTCCCGTAAGTATGCTTTTAAAATATGAATCATAACACGTTTTTTATATAATTTGTTTTGCGCATGATTCGGTCTAAACACTTAGCTGTTTACGAAGGAATAAACATTATTTCAAACAAGATGATGTCCATATATAAAGAAAAGAGTCTTTTAAGTCGTAAATTTGTTTAAAAAAATACATTGTATTGAAAATGTGCCTATTATTTGAAATCAGACTTACATATAGACAAAATCTGTCTCCCAATGTTTCTATATGGGGAATAGAATCGACGCCGTAAACTAAAAAGCTGCAATAAAAAATGCTAACTACAGGTAATCTCGTTTCATAAACAAAAAATATCTGAATTCAGCTTATGAGTTCACATAAGCCCGGATTAAGGTAACAAACATTCCTGCACCTTTAGTATACAGGCTTTTTTTAAAACAGAAATTTTACATAATCACCGTGAGAGTTTGTTGCCAGACATAACCCAAGCTTTGAAATTCACCCAGCAGCCAAATCTACCGTGAATGATTATTTAATTGAACTTTTCCTAAAATCAATACGTTAATTTCAAAAACATGTGTAAACCAATACGATAATTTTATTTATATCAAAGAATTGGGGAAAAAACACCGACTCCCGTTTCAATTTGATTTAAATGTAAATGAAATTGCAGCGTTCAAAATCCTAGCTTCGTTCAATCCATTGAAAGATTCACGTACGAAGTTATTGCCAAGGAGGTTCATCTCTTGAAATAGTAACAAAATGGGGTCAAAATGACCCTACTTAAACTGTACTGCTAAACATTGCTGGACATTATTGCCCATTCCAGTCTTAAACATTATACACTGGTCAATGGATAACGGACAATGGCTGACCATCGAGGCTGATTAAATATGTGTACATTTCTAATTAATCAAACATTTAGTGGACAGACCTCCGTGCATTAATTGACCATTGAAAGAATACTTGTCTTACAACACGAATCTAAGGGTCAGCAACAAAGTTTAATTGTACACATTTTTTGTTTCCGAATTCTTTGATCTTTTGTCCATACCTTCTCAACATTGTTACCACTATACCGGGAAACGAGTTTATCCGAGTACACTTGGTTGACGACTTCATACGAAAGCAAACGACTTTTTCTTATCAAACATATAACACAAAAACCGTGGTTTCTGAGTTCATTTCCTGGTTTTACCATCATACCAACACTGCAGGTCATATTAGGATCTACAGTCATCATCACAATGACAGTCTCGAACCTACGATCTCAAAATTTCCTGGCAACTTGGCCGTCATTCAATGAATATTCCACGAAATATAAGGTTTCTATCGCTACATCGTAATGCAAAATAGTTTTGATTTTGATATACTTCAGACCATCGACTTTTTGATATTCATTATTTCAAGCTGCTAGACGGATGCACCAGTTATTGTAAGTTTAAGTTATTTAACATAATTATTTTGTATCTTTATCCATGTTTTAAACCAAACGTAAAATAAGATTTCTCAGCAAAAATCAGTGTTTATTTAAAGCTTTTTTTCTAACTGCTTCCTGTGTATTTTAAGGCTCAAGTTTTTCCGTTTAGTTACCTAAATTTATACAAATTTGCGCAACATCTCCTTTCCAAATAGCCCACGGTCCCGTATAAAAAGACCTACGTCGCGATATAATCCAGCTTTAAAAATGGCAGACATTATTAGCCACAGGCAGGAATGGCGGGTTGAAAATAGGCGATGTCGTTTCATCATTTACTTTATGATACAGTTTGATTGTACAGTATGATACGTGAACTTGAGCTAATTAGAACCAATTTGAATCTTCAGTATGTATTATGTCGTGCGACCATATTTGTTAAAATGCGGACCCGCAACAGGGTGATGATATCAAATGATATGGTATGGGCATTGTGGTAACAATTTTGTATTATACTTATTTTGGACAACCCGTCAAGATGATTTTAAGGAAGCGGTCAATCCCATTGTAGAATAAATGGGCACTTTTTTAACTAATTGGGACGAGATAAGGACGATGAAAGAACACATACGGTTTATTTCTCTGTGTTATGTTTTGTTTCCTTTTCAAAATGTTCCCTCTTTAAAACGTCATCATCTATGATCTAATGTGAATGTGTACGCAAGGAAAGAAATTCATACACACTTCTAATAAAAACATCTTTCGGTCAGAAACAAAATAAACTTAAATAAAATATATATATGAAAATGTATATATTCTCGAAACGTCTCCACCCCTTCCCCATTCACTCCCACTCCATTCCCTCCCCCCGAAAACAAAACTAACTATGCTCTTATGAGAAGGTGTACGATGTGAAAAAGTCAGATAAAGTAAATGAATAAGTCCTAGGAAAAGACATAAAGCACCAATGCTCTTACGTCTTTCCATAAAAACAATGAAATTTTTTCACCATTTATAAAGCATTTAAATATTTAGTATCAGAATTTTAAAAATTTCAAGCCGAGATTCCAAAATATTTGCCCTATTTGATAAGAGATATATGAACGCGGTGACAAGACATTTCAAATTAATGTAACAACCCTGGGGTATCCGACCTCAAAAGTAATTTATTAAAAACGGTGGCCATTGTCCGAAACGTATGCAAATAGGCCGAATGTCCGGTTGTTTACACAAGTGCGGACAGTGTAACATTAATCACCCAGCACGTTCTCATATCAATGACATGTAAATTAAACTTGTAAATTGTTACCAAGGTGTTCCGGCAATTGCAGGGACCGTAAACTCCCTATTAATTAAATCTTCAATTTCACCCAACCATCTTCAATTAGGTGTCGTCCTATTGTAACGACTGTCCAAAGGGCGTTTTGAAGGCATCACTTAATTTACAGCAGAGTGCACAAATGCACATATAAATTGCGATGGCCATTTGCTTGCCACAGACATACCGTCCTCGATGTTTATTATTGTTAGGTCAAAATCTAACTTTTTAGTGTTGGTCGCTGCAACGTAAACTATGGTACGGGCACATTTGTTACTCGTAGACGATGTCGCCATTGTGCTGCGATTTTCCGCTTCTAACCGCAGATCAGATGGAATCCGTTATGAATTTTGATATAATTTGATCTCTGATTGTGGTCATTTTTAGGCTTTTACTTTCAAATATATTTTCAAAATTTTCTTCAATGGAAACTCCCTTACCTTTAATGCATCATTATTCGAAAGAGAAAATTAAAAGAAAACGTGTAGCGTATGGGTTACAAACGCTACTTTAATTTTACTAACTATTTATTGATAATGTTTATATTACTTTATTGTTAATTGATATATCAAGTCTTTTTTAATAGTAATGATACTTTGCATTTAAACTGTTTTAACGCGCGTATATATATTTTACTCATTGTATATAACTTTTTTTTATTGTTAATTTATTTCCGTTTCAATATTGTTGATTCGAGTTTAAACTGCGGTTTTTAATCGCATTTCCTTTTCCACATATTTTCTTTTTTATACTGTAGATGTTCAAGAAAAGCTAGTATTTTGCGGTTAGTTTCGTAATCAATTTCAGTTTAAGCACTTAACGTATTGCGTATTGCAGTTTAAAATAAGCATTAGTCACATAGCGGTTTGCAACAAAGAATAATTATGGAATTCAAAAAACGAAATAACTATAATGTTTTAAAAAGTATAGTTATAAATATACAGTTGAAGCAGAATATTCTTTAAAGTATTAAATTTAATACTTTTAAAATAACATAGTGTTATTAAAGCAACAGTTATGAT